AATAAGGCTCAGTCATTTGACACATAAAGAACTGAGAGACATAGTGTCCATCACACTAATTTATATTTTTTCCAAATTGTCAAAAATAATCTCCATTTTATCTGACATCTAATTTAGGACTAATGATAAATTCCTCTTCTTGTTACATTTTCCCATCTGTAGGGGAAGAGTAAGAAAATAAAGGTTCTAAGAAGGGGAAAGTCCTTCCTGAAAATGCTATAGTTTCTTTTATCTATGTTTTTCTGTCTTGAATGCCTTTGCTGATGTTGCTCTTCAGAAGCAGACTTTTCATCACTGGAGTTCTCCCAGTTACAGGAATTTTACCTTGGCATTTGGTATGAATCCTGCTTTTTTTGGCTATTTTTCGTAGACTTCTGCCATTAAGAACATTCACGTTTATCTTTAAACCTTCCTTTGATTACTGTCACTGGCTGTCCTGTTTCCTGTGTTGCTTGCAACATTAAGTTCCACCAGTCTTCTGACTGTCCCTCCTGAAGCCATAAGGCACATTTGCTGCCCTCCTTTGACATCTCTTCCACAATACTGCTTTTCTGTACCTCTGAGACTTAAAACCAGACATAAGGGAGAAAAAGGACCAGAACAAACTTGACCTAGTGCAAAAGAGCCAAATTTCTAGCTTGAGCAGCAGCCTGTAGAAAACCTTGCCTTGGCAAGTCAATCAGGAGAATAAAGACCATTTATCTAGGTCTGTAACACCTGCTTCTAAATCACCACCAACACAGGTGACTGCACTGGCCCATGACTCCAGTGGCTTTGAGTCAGCAGTGCAGTCCTTTGCTGGTTGTTTCAATCAGCAGAAACTAGAGCTTCCCAGAAAGTAGGTGGTGTAGCTTATGCTCACAGCTGAAACAGTCCGTATCTGTTTCTGCACTGGGAATTCCCCACCAAACCCTCTCTGTGCCGTTATATTTTGTCTATCTGGATGACCAGAATATGTAGTCTCTGTATACCAGTGTAGTTTCTAAACAAAGCTGAGAGCATGAAAATGTATCATTTCTCTGGGTTTGCAAGAGATAATAATACCTGCACATCTGACAGATTGTGTTGCTAGTTGCAAGGATGTAGAAGGTCACAGTAGCTGGTGGAATGGTCCCAAGGTTTATCAGTATGAAAGAGAAAAGAATTTAGTGGAGTTTAAAGAGGAATAATGATTTCCACCCTCTTACTGCAGCTGCTTCACCCCATTTGCTCCTTTTTGCTTGATTATATACAAAACATAAAAAGTGAACAACTAAGCTAAGTGATGTGTTTTCCAGGGTTGTCGTATCTGGTAACTTGATAATCATCATAATCCAGATTTACAGAGGTAAAGATTTATTTTAGCTGCTCTTGGAAGATGTTGGTGATGGATTTCTATTTTGTGAAATGATAGCTATTTCTGTGAAGGCTTTAACATGCAAATAATTAGTTATATCCCTTTTTTAAAGGAGCCTTTCTGTCCTCACTACACTGATTCTCTAAGTACAGTTTATTATCTAAACACTGGTGCTTTGAGAGATATTCAATTTCTGATTATGTCACACCAAGACAAAATCATGCAAAATCCATCAATTTATCCAGCTGTCCTGCTCAAATACTGTATGAAACACAAGAGGCAAAACAAAACAAAAAAAAAAATCAACCAAAGAACTGAAAAAACAGTCCATCTGTGCCATGTAATCAAGTTAATGAGTGATATGCTTGTTTTTTAAACCTTTTACATGGATTGGAAAAAAAACAGACCGTTTTGGAAAACAGGCCAGGTGTTTAACTTCCTGCCACCTTTTCGCCTGCAAAAGTCTTCCTGGTTTTGGCTATCTGCATTTGCAAGAAGCTCGCAAGGAGCAGTACTATTCTGGACATAACTAGTGGCTTTCTGTCAGTTTTTGCCTACAATTTGCAGGGCATTTTCTGAACCCTGTGGATAAGAGTAAATGAGATTAGACTAAAGGTGAAACTCATTACAAATGCACTAGAAAATCCAGTCAGGATTCAACTTGCTCTTCTGGGTTGAACTGTGAAAAATCAAGAAGGAAATCCTGCTAGAGATTCAGAGTATAACTGACTTGAAGGAAGAGCAAATGTTACCCATAGATATTTTTGTAACATTAAAATAACTTTTCTTTAGCTGAAGAGAATCTTTTATTGATTGAAATTCTAGTAGCTTGAAATTTTCCTGTCAGTAATTTATGTGTTTGTAGAGTGCTTAACATCCTTGTTTTTCAACTACTGAATTTTTGTTCATTGGATTACTTTAGGAATTATACAGGAGCTGGTTTATTAACCATCTAAATTTCACATGATAGGAGACTGACTTTAAAATTCTTGGAGAAATAATGGCTTGAATAAATAGTCTGTCTCATTTATTATCTCTGCAGTGCCTCATATCAGTTTAGTAGTGATCAAAAATCCTCAGCAGAGGTGTTTTTACCGATCGGTACAAGCTGAGTGGCATTCTCAGGCATTGCTCTTTGCCCTGTGGTAATTTCTCATAAAAGCTAGGAATGTGAAGGCATGTAAGCTTTTCTCACATCCAGAAGAGATCTGTGACGTATTGTTAGTGCAGAGATAAAAATGTACTACTTTTTCTTGTGGATCTTTGGTCTCTATAGCAGATGATACATCGCCAATACCAGAATTAGCAGAAAAGAAGATGAAAGAATTTTCACTATATTGAAAGGTTGTTCCAAAACTGGAAAGAAAAAGCAGGATATAAACATCTAAATGAATATCTAGATGAATAATTCATGTAAGGAATCCTAAGAAGTTGGATTTTTACTGTTCCCTCTGAAAATAATCAGTAGTTTAGGGACTGTGGAGTGAGTGAGGATATTTTTAAGATGACAGAGAAAATATTTGGTAACCCATAGATTGTATCTAGTATTGGAAAGGGGGATGTCAAGATACTATTAGGATTGTACTATGAAGCAGCTACATGAAAAGGAAACTAAAGTTCCTAACAATATACAGCATAAACCAATGTAGCTGGCATCTGAGCTGTAGCAAGCCTTTTCAAATACAATCCTTATATGCAGTCAAAGAAAGATATAGAAACTGTTTGATAAATCTAGTAGGCCCTTTCCGTACAGGTTCTTCAGTATTTTTTCTTTTCCTTCCAAAAGCATCATCATGTGATCAAGAACTTCAGTCAGCCCTGGAGGAAGCTAAGCAGCCCCAGAAAGACAATGTGTTCATTCCAGAGTGTGCTCAGGGTGGCCTCTACAAACCAGTGCAGTGCCATCCTTCCACAGGGTACTGCTGGTGTGTTCTGGTGGATACTGGACGTCCCATCCCTGGTACATCAACCAGGTAAGGGAATACACATTCAGTGCTCAAAAGCTGGAGTGAGAAGATGCCTTAGTGTGCATGTACTAGCATGTAGATTTTCTGTTGCTGGTGGAATTATGTCTAATAAGTTTCTTCCATATGAAGCGGAATATTTCTAAGAGACATCAAAAGTTAAGGCCAGATGGTCACAGAATGTTTCACTGCAATGTCACATGCAGTTTGATCCCCTTGTCCTCTTTCTGACTTCTATTTTGTGCTGGGAATCCAAGGCTTGGAGAAGATAATGAATAAGCCCAGAGGAAACCTCACACTCCTTAGCCTGAATAGAGAAGAACCAAGTGCAATGGTCTATGACAGAAACCACATCCAACCGCAGAAATGTTCAGTTATTTTTCCAGCAACCTCCTCAACTATTTCATATGACTGGCTTTGATGGAACAACTGCTTGGGAACCCATACAGAGGAAATATCATTTTAGTGTGTTATTAATAGAAGCTTGGAGTTCAGTCGGCTCAGCTGAGCCGGATGCAGGGTACAGTGTTGCGAGCCACATAGAGCAGATGTAGGCAAGGCAAGTATCAGGTTCCAAAGGATGTTATTTAGGCTGGTTATTGAGGTTTGGCCCTTGTAGGAATGCTATAGAAGCTCATATAAAGCTGGAGGGCAGTATGGGTATCTTGATGCAATCATAAATCTTTTCAAGTTTAAGCAAAAATCATTTTATATCATTAGCATAAGGTTTGTGAAAAAACATTGAGAGCCGCTTGCTATAAAGTATTATATTCTTGGGGAGTGTTTTTCACATATTCTTCAAGTCTTCATTTACTGGTAGCTGTTTGTACCATAGTCTAGACCATGCCAATTACAGTACCATCTGAAGTGAGCATGACCTAAAGTGACTGTTGATCTGCTGTTTCTGGCAAGTTGAGATTCATAAATTGTCAAAACAGAATAGTCCAAATTTGATCCTGAAACTATAAAATCAGTACACATATTGTGTGAGGACCTAGAGGTGTCCTCTAGAGATTCCAGAGGCTCCCTTTTCTGCTCTTCTGTTCTCCACGCCTAGGTTTGTTCACTTGTTTTTAGTGTTAATCCTTCTTATCATCTGACACTGTTTCCACCCTTTGTATGCTTCCATTTTAGGTGCTCCTTGTTATCTGTGCAGGCTTCCTGCCACATTCTGCACATCAGGGTGAACCATTCATGAGACTGGAGGGGGTTATGCTTGAAAATCAACCAGCTCACTTTCCTATTCATATGTATAGTGTGCATTCAGTGCATGTGATTGTGGCTTCTACTGTCATATAGGCTGGAATTCTAGGTCTTCCCAACCCTTTGATGGGTCTAGAAGCAGTCTCTGTCTTCTCCAGGACATTTCTGAGCACACATAGGCAAGTAAAGTATTCAATTTTAGGAGTTTCGTACTAAATAAAGAATGGTGTATTTAGGAACAGTCCTGGTAAACAAGCAGGTGGGATTACTGCCTGGAGTTTAAAAGGAATGTCTAGACCTTATTTCTGAGAAAGATTTAGGTGGACTGGAATCCCATTAATTATTTCTTGATTTTAATTTTTTTTTCTATATTGATAAAAGTAAACTTTTTTTCTCTAGTAGAGGGAAGTAAAAGGGGATCAGAATATGATGAGAAATATGCAGTTATCTTGTAATTCTTTCTTACAGAATGGAAGGAGTGAACATGTGAGTATTTCCTAGTTTAAAAAACTCATGCAAAATGGTGTACGCTATCTTCCAGCTTTCCACTGCAAAATGCAAATTAGAAGAGTAGCTCTACTGCAGGAACTGACAGCATTAGTAGTTCTGGTAGCAAGATGGATGCATGGGATCCTGGAATCTCTGTTCTGCAAATCTGGATCAAATCACTAGGCTACAACAATGAAAGGATAGACAGATCTGGAAAGCTGTTGCCAGAACAGCTTAGCATTTTGCACATTGTTTGTTTTGAATACATTAATGAGGATGAAATTTGTCATATCATTAGGCTCTGAATACCACAATAAGTAGTAGTCACATTAAATTAGACCTCCAAAATGAAGGGAAGTTGTTAATACTCATTCACCTTCTAATGTTCTGTCATCTGAAAAAAAAGATAAATCATTTGTTAGAGAAGGTATTTCAGGAAAAAAAAAATCTCATTCTAGAGTTCAAATAAAGATATGTGAATGAAGAACTACTCTAGGACATTTAAGACAGTAAAATTCAGAAGAAATAGGTGCAGTGTAACTCTGGGTTTTGTGAAAGCGTAGAGAAAACATCCATTTGACTAAAAGGAGGCAATGAAGTTAGAGGGTACAACCAACCATTCTCCCTAAAGTCTATCAGTTGGCTCCCAATGTCTCTTGGACATCACAGTGTGATCCTCAGCCTTTTTGCTCAGCAGGGCTGTGAGTCTGTGTTTTCACATGCGACTTTCTAGCAACTAGGTTCATGGGCAAATTGATCCTCAATTCACTTGCACAAGATTCCCTAAACTTAAAAAACCCCATGAATCAACCGCTTCATGAGGCTGCCCACACTGCAGAATCCCTGTGAAAGCCTCCATCCTCTACTGCTTTGTACACCTCAGTAAGTATTAGTGCTTCCCAGCAGACTGCTCAGAGGTATAAAGCAGCCTTCATAAGCTCTTGCCAACTCTAGATATACATTCACTGCTAAGGATTCTTTCTCCTTTAAAATTCAAAAGAGTAACTTGGGATGTCTTTTGACTACATTGTTTTTAAGCTGACAGTGCTCCATTCTGACATTCTATCCCTTTCCCTCTCTTTCCTCATGAAAACTGAGGTAAATGTGTTTTTCTTATCAGTTCTTAGCATGGCTGTTCCTATATGGTAAATTTCTAATGATTCGTTTTCTGTCTTCAGGTGCTTTAAAGAGTTAAATGTAGACTTTTCACATTGCAGCATTTTAACACCTATTGGGCTTTAATAGATTTAGTGTGTATATGATGACCTACATGTGTATTTAACAAAAATATAAGCTAAATGAAAATAGAAAAGTAAAGGCCAAAAAAGAAAGTGTAGGCACAGAGCAGAAACAACAACGGAAGAGGACGAGGGAAATGCACAGTCAGGTATCAGATTAATCAGGGACCAGGCTGGTTGCCAGATACTGCATTAGTGAGTATTGCTTAGAGATTTCCCTTTCACCCTTTTCTTGGCTGATTGAAATGGTCATCCATCAGCTATCTGAATCCAACCCATGCTATCAAAGCACCTTCTTTTTTCTGCTGTTCTTTAGGGAAAAAAAGTGCTTGTAGCTCTCCCATGTCCATGAAAACAACACTGTACCTTCTTACAGCCGCCAAAATTTGATGGGCCAGTGGGCAGTTTCATCAGATGATGTGGAAATAAATTAAGGACTCAAAGGAAAAATAACTTTTTTCTTTTTTTTTTTCCCCCATTCTGCCTGATAATTAAGATCAGAATACTTAGGTATTGTTCTTAAGGGCAGTCTGGCCTGGAACTAGGGCATAGCCACCATTTAATGCTTTTAGAAAGAACATTTTATTCCAAAAATTTGGATTGGTATATTTTAATTAGCCCTTTTAGTATGCTGCTCAGTAAATGTCAATTTGGGGAACTTAGAGTAGGAGAATTTCAAAGAAAGATGAGTAGTTATGTAAAATATGAAAGAGCCTAGATTCAGTGAACAGGTGTGTATGTGCACACACATGTATGTGGACACAAGTCTTATTACTAAGTGTGTTTAACTGAGAATTGAAACTTTCTCTGAAGTGCTATACCCTAAATTTTGCAGCTTCAAAGTACTTTAGGAGATTGAGAAAGTAAAATTTTTCAGAAAGAGATTCTGTCAAGCTGAGTGAAAAACCACCTTGCATCAATAGTGGGACATAAGAAAAAAGAAGACTCAGCAGCAGATGCTCCTATGCCTCACAGCCTTGCCTAAAAGAGATTGCTAATGGTGTTGCGTAAGTCAATGTTTGTTGGAAGTGCAAATATCACGGAGTTTCTTCTTACCAGCTGGACTAACAAAGTGACTTTAGATAAAATCAGAAAGCATAGAGGAACAAGAGTATTCAAGTAGCAGGTGGAGATTCAGTCTTTTTCACAATCCATTTCAAGCAGTTCCATCCTAATTCCTTTCCTTCTGGAAACCCTATCAGTTCTGTGCTCTCGATCAAATGTAGCTGTTCATGGTTAGCCCTTCTTATGTAAACAGGATTTTTGGAGAGGATACAGTAGCACATGGCTTTAGAGCTACAGAACCTGGCTTGCTCTGATTTTGAAATTGCTTTTCTGGTGTTTCCCAACATGAATACTGTGTCAGATGTCAGAATTTGTCATACTGTTTATGGCTTTTTGATTTGGTAGATGGGAGGAGAGCCTGACTTTGGTTTTGGTTTCAGTGTTTTTTCAAAATTGTTTTTATTATGTATTATATTACTTTATAGCAATTCCCCACAATTTTCTCCTTTCCTCAGTTTTCCTCCCTTTAGAATGGGCTTTAGAATAGATAATAATTTTTTCTTTTGGTGTCAACACCAGAAGAATAAAGATGTAAGTGGAAAGTAGATGAATTTGCATTGCCCCTTTTGAATGAAAAACAAGCTTATTCCCTGAATAAAAGAAGTTACAAGTTTAATTTGGACTACAAAATTAGAAATAAATTCGTTCTAAATCAAATTAACCTTGACTGATTTTATTCCTACCATGTTTGTTCTGTAGGTATGAACAACCTAAGTGTGATAACAGTGCCAGAGCTCACCCAACCAAAACAAAGGATTTGTACAAAGGACGCCAGCTTCAAGGTCAGTGAAACAGATAAATTTGGTTCCATGCATTCCAATGCTTTGTTTAGTCAACCTAATTAATTAGAAAGCAATTTCTTCCCCTGTGTCAAAACAGTGTATCTTTTAGCTGTTGCTGTGTGAATTTGCCACTGACTGAAGTCTTTGACTTTGGAACAATGTACGTAAAACTGGGTCTTCGGATGTCAGAGGAAGTAAGGCTCAGTAGTTTAAAGGCAGTCACATTTACTTACTGGAATTATGCCTTGCTGTTGTCATACCAGAGAAGTCAGCAAATACGTCCAGAGTAACTTGGCCAGTACTTCATAATCCTTGTTCTAGCAAAATCCCTGGGAAATTGGCCTCTATCTTGAAATCAGTCTAAAAATGTATCATCTAGTTACTGTTTTCCACGAGTACCCTTGTCAGTTTGCCTCAGAACAGTATTATTTTATTCTTCTTTCTAGTAGGAACAAACCTTGGTGTTTATTAGATTTTTCCTTTTTTTCACACTTTTTATAAGCATGTGAGAGATATTATCTCTGAATAGCTAAACTACACAGAAGTCAGTAGACTTGCTTCATTTTTGTAATGGCCTTTTAATGTGTTTGAATAACTTGAGGTGTATCAGGTTTAGTGATATTGCACATATTATGAGGGAATTATGAAATCATTGTCAGCTATTGTAAAGAACCAGAAACAAGGAAATAATGTGGGCAGATTTTTTGTGTCATGAAAACTATTTAGTCACCCAAAGAAACATCTAGACAATAATTCTGAACTAAACATGCCTATCAGTGTTGGAATGCATGTTGAATGAAGCACTCATTAATACTCTCTGTCATTGAACAAATTTAATTACAAGGTACAATAAAAAAAAAGAAGAAATATGAATGATATGTTATTATACCATATATAATTAGATGTTTTGTTCTGCATAGAGAGAAGTCAATCATAGAGTTAACTGTAAGCTGTTCAGTTACTGTGGCTGTAAAAATGGCAAGTGAGACCCCAAAACATATCTAGCTAGGTAGACAGGAACAGGACAGAAAAGGCAGACAAGGAAACATTCATGCCATTTCACATAGCCCTATTATTTTGCCTGGATTTTATCTAGAACTGTGGGTACAATTCTGGTCATATGAGTTCAGGAAAATGGATACACAGGTGAAGTCACCTAGAACTAATGTGTCAGGGAAAGCAGCTACTTTCCAAGAGGAGGCAGCTACCATTTGCTTCATTTAGACAAAGACGACGAGGTCCAGAGGCGATATTGTTCCTCAGAGCATGAGGAAGAGAAGCTGTTTTCCTCTATGACAATTTTGGCACAATAAAAATAGGTATGAACTACCCTGAATGAATTTCACCTGGGAGTTGTAAAGTGGTTTCCAACTATTAAAGCAGTGAGGCCACAGCCTTCTCAAGGACCAGGAATGGAACAGAAAATCTGGTCAGTTTTTTAGGTAAATCTTGATTACCTAAAAAGACAGTGGAGAGACAGGGTCGAATGACTGAGGTACTCACTCCACATTATGGCTTATCACTTAAGATATTGAACATGTACACTTACTAAGAGATGAAAAGCTGATTTACACTAAAAAATCATCTTGGAGCACGAATTTTACAGCTCTTGCCAAATTGTCTTCATTTCTCTTCCTTCACAAAAAAGGGATGGAACATGCCTGACTTGCAGTTTTACTGTTTAGCTGCTCACAGAGGTCAGCAAGAACCGTATGTGCCACATAAATCCTGAGACATGTGAAATTTAGTGGCAAATACACTCTGTTGACAGTCAGATTGATGATGTTTATCCATCATTTCATCAGTCAGTACCTGCTTACTGAAGTTACTACTGTTGTAACTTCAGGGAAGTTAGCAAGTATTTCAGGGATAAAATTTGGGAAATATTTTGGCCTTTCAATACGTAAAGGGGGCTTATAAGAAAAATGGGAAGACTTTTTTAGTGGGGCCTGTAGCAATGGGACAAGGGGTAATGGCCTTTTAAATTAAAAGAGGGTAGTTTCAGACTAGATATAAGGAAGAAATTTTTGAGGGTGGCAAAACACTGGAACAGTTTGCCCAGAGAGGTGGCAGAAACCCCATCCCTGGAAACAATCAAGGTCAGGTTGAATGAGGCTCTGAGCAACCTGATCTAGCTAACCATGTCCCTGCTTTCACTGCAGGAGGGTTGGACTAGGAAACCTTTGAAGATCCGTTCCAACCCAGACTATTCTATGATGTTTTACTATCCTTACTCCATGAAAACCAATGGAAAGTTGGCCATCTTCAACAACTTATTTTAAACAGCACTTGCATAGTTACAGACTTGGATAATTACTTGATTTCATCTGTACTTTTCCTGAGTGAAAAGAACTTGCACTCAGAGGGGAGTATAGCAGAGTGTAAGCTGAAGAAACAAGTTTTGCACTAAAAGGTATCGCTTACTGGTCACTTCTACCTTTGCTAAAACTTTTGATGAACCATTTTCTAGCTGGAATCTTGGAGGATGGGCAGGTGAAGAGTTTTAAGCTGTCACACATCTATTTCTTAGCCAAATCAGTAGTGCTTTTATACAGTACAGTAATAAAGATTTATCCAAACTCAAGATACTTTTCCAGTGAAACAATTACAAGAACTTTCCGTACTGTAAAATCCTACCTGATAATTTAATTTTCATTAAGTTAGGCAATGGTCTTTTGATTTTCTTTTTCTACTTTATGGTATTTTGCATTATGTGAGCTTTAGTCCAACAAACCACTGCAGCAATGTGAGCTCACAATTATCATAAATTATTATGTATGACATGGATTTGCTCTCCTACATCTTATGTTGCTTAATCTTTGTCTTCAAAATGCTTTGTATTATTTTACAATAAGGCAAATATCAAAATTTCCTAACATTTCCTAAGTACTTATGGTTTAGCTAGAAGAACCTCCCTCTTCTACTCTACAGCAGTGTGAAGCACATGCCTACAGAAGTAATGGGGGAAGAGGTTGCTTCACAGTTGCAGTTGTGTTAAGGTGTTTAGTTTTTCTTTCTCTCTCTGAAGGCTTTTTCTTTCCTCTCACTCAACTAGTCTATTAAATGCCCAAGTCCTCAACTGGCAAATTTCTCTCTTACCACACAATCACTACATCAAGTGAAAATGAATTGAGTTTACCTTAGACAGTTTTTTGAAAAAAGAAGGTTGAAAGAGTATCTTGCACAGGTGTGTCTAGTTGTTAAAAAGTAACAGGTAAAATTGTACTAATGGCTCATAAGAATCAACTTTTTAGTAGAAATGAACTGCTGTTACTCAAAGTTGCTCTATTGTAAGCAGTTGCAAAAGCATGTTTGCATTTGTGTTGTCTAAATTTAAATACAGCATCTGATTGCTGAGTGGTGCCAAGACTGAATAAAAAAATGCAGGTTAATTGTGTACTTACTTTCAGGGAATAATACATTTTTGAAAGGATGGGTTGCTTGATTTGCAGCTTATACCCACAAAAATGCAGTAGCCTTGGGTGAAACCACTGTGACTGCCTGCTGTGTAAAACCAGGAAGATTTTAAAGCAATTACTTTACTACTATGAATGATTGTAAATAGGATAAAATGCACTGATACATCCTCAGGTGGATTAAATTGGCATAGTTCTGCAGCTACGCTGATTTATACCACCTGAAAATTTAAGGACATTACATTTTAAGCCAAATACTTTTAGCAATAATTTGCCAATAAATCAAGATCCATTTTTGGCAAACACCGATACCTTGTTAAGTCAAAATTGTAGAAGGTAAGGGCCCCTTGGAGTCTATGGCAAAATTTCCACTGATTTAGACCGAACTGAGAATATATCCTCACATCCTAAGGGTAACGTAATATAAAGTGTCTGAAATTGAAAGCTAGTCTAAGGTTGTAAGAACAATCCAAGCCACCTCTATCTGTTAGATTGGGTTGGAAGTTATATAATAATAATACTTTCCATTAGATTTCTAGTCCTTTTTTAAATCCAAAGCATTTTTCTGAGGTTCCTTGTGGTTTTGATCCTTCCCAGAAACTAGTTATTCTGAGATAATGAAAATGAACTCAAAAAGGAGTCTAAAGAATGTCACATACTATGGAAACAGAAGGGGTTTTACTTTTCTCATGTTCAGAGTTTTCAAATGTTTGTATTTTGACTTTTTGTTGTCCTCTTTGTTATACACACGTGGAAGCCTGTGATGAACCAATATATTCTGTAAAGAATCTTGAATGGTTTATTTCAGGCTTTTGGATAGCTTGTCAAGGGCATTTAAAAGGGTATAGCGTGAAGGGTAGTTAAGCTAAACCTATAGTATGATGGTATAAGCTGTACATGTCCCTGTATTTTCCTAAAATCATGAGTGGTAATAGGTCAAAATCAGCCAAGCTGAAGAAATATCAGTTCTTAGAACTGTGTTTTTTCAGACTGGGTCTATGCGTGAGGGTGTTCTTAAGCATTACATGTATTCACTAGTTTTTAATAATCAGTAAAGTATTTTTCAGCACGTACCCTCAACAGATGTATATTTATTTGTAAATTATATAGTTCTACTATTGTACTAATATACTAAGTACATTCTAGAACCACTGCCAAATATAGACATTAAAAAATGATTAAATAAAGATGAAATAAACACAATTTTAATCTTCTATTTCATTTATTTATAGTAAAAAATGTATTTTCTTCGTGCACTCCAATTGATTGTTTTATGCCCCCCAGGCGTATGTGCACCCCACTTTGGAGACCGGTGCCTTAGACAACAGATAAGCTACCTGTTCATAAAGTTAGTCTTGCCTCTGCTCTAAGCAACCTGGAAGAAAGGGACTTGGATATGTAAAACAGCAAGACATGATAGCATATTGAGACAGTGCCAGACCACTCAGCTAACTCGCCTCAAGGGCACTTTTTTTCTTATTTAAAAAATATTCATCGAATGCAAGAAGGCTCTGTTTTAGGCTCTGCTGTGTGTGAGGGCTGAATAAACTTTGGATAATGCCTTATATAGTTTAAGATATTTGTAT